TAGCATTCAGTTTCTGGGTTTAGCAACTGGTTACATGGGTGTGTTCAGTTGGTGAACTAGTTGGTTTATACTTGTACTTTATTATAAACTCGTAAGAACTATAAGACTGCATGATGAAAACCCTCAATAAGGTTCTGTTCACAAGGAAAAAAAGATGGCGGCAGAAAAGGGATGTATAGGTCAATGTCAATGTCAGATACACGAACAGAAGGCATGCAGTTCATTGTCAACAAGGCACAGAACAGGGTCTTCAGAAAAATTTAAGAGGATTCTCTGAGAGTCCTAAATTCATGATCTGATGGAAAGAAGATCACAGACCTGGGGCAACAGTAAGATTTCAAGGGACAGGAGAGGACAATTCCCAGAAACATTACCATGTGCTTCGTATATCTTTACTGCTCTGGCTCTGTGGTATGTGCTTTACTCCTCAACTGTAGCATTTTAAGAGAGAGAGAATATGTGGGGGAAATTAGAATACATATGGAAAGCCAAAGAAGTGAAAAGAGAACTCAACTGTACACCTGCCAAGCATCCTTGGAAGGGAAGGAACATTCCAGTTCAGACAGCCCACCAGGTGCCCTTCATGGCAGGTGATAACAGGTGCTAACACAGAGGCCTTGTCTACTTATTGAGCACTTATTATGCCAAATGTACCAACAAAGTTCCAAGAACAAAAAACATGGTGGTATGAATTAATAAATTAGATTGAAATCACATAATAGACACTGAATGGTTACAGAAGGATGGGCAAGTGATACACTAAAGAGTTTACATTCTTCACATAAAAGGTACATGGTATGTTTCCAGGTAGAGAGATTTAAAAATCTTTACCTTAAATTCTTATAAAACTTCAAGCCCAGAATATACAACGTATTTTAATTTCTATACCACCTATGCTAACAGTAAAAATACTAGCATGTTTAATACAAAAGAATCAACTTACGGTATTTAAGTAAGACAAATTTATTATAAATTATTTGTTTCAAAAAAGGATACAGATATATAATGGCACAAAAGAAGACTTAAATGGAACGGTGTTGGATAAAAATACTCGGCATTAAAAGATGTTGATGTTTTTATGCTGAACTACACATGTTCAGAAACATGAGTGACTAAAGGATTTTTTTTAACTAGGCAAGCTAATTACAAAGCTCGAATTGAAAAAATATAAACAGCAAAACAAAAGGAAGATTTGCAAAAGAACAAAACGTGTTCTAGGCAGAATAAGATGTTCTGCCAGAATATGCACCTTCATTTTTAAAACTGTGGCCAGTAAAGAGTATGCAGACAGTAGAAGCATATGAAGACCTCTGGAGCAGAATAAGAAGTCTAAAAGAAAATCTAATAGGGAAAAAAGGTACTTTAGCAGATACTTTAGTGAAACAAAGGCTAGGTTATTAAAATGAATGATGTAATAATAGCTATTTAACAAATGCCAAACCCAAATGGACTTATATATCAGAACCTACACTGGATACATTCCAAATGAGTCACAGATTTAAAGGTAAAAATCAAACCATTTATGTAGCAAAAGTAAATGGAAGAATTTTCATCACGTGCTCTTTAATAGGGAGTTAAGTAAATTATAGCAAATATGTAAAATATAAAATAAAATGAGGAAGCACATGATGTTCTTCTATGAAACTACCTTCAAAATACATTGACAAGTAAAAAAAAAAACAAGTAAGGACAGAATATATGTAGTGTGTGAAGAGGAGGGTGATGGCAGGAAAATATTTATGCTAGGATGACAAGGGTACACTGCTTCTTCTAACAAGAAAAAAATGTGATGGAGGAGCTTTTCCCTGTTATGTTCTTTTTTAATCTTTCAGATTTTTTAAATTAAATAAAAATTTTTATTTTGTTTCATTTTACTGCAGAGCTTGTGATTAACCCACACATGCTAGGAAGCACAGTACTGCTGAGCTACATCTCTAGCCATAAACTTTTAGATTTAAAAACCACGCATTTATATTCTAGCTTAAAATAAAAAAAAAAACCTAAAGGTACAATTAGCCACTTTTCCTTCTAGTAGATTTATTTACAGGAAAATATAGACAAGAACAAAATTTAACAAAATACTTCTAAATAATTATATAAACATAGAAATTTAGGCAAGCATCTTTTATGCTTTTTACACAATTGTCAGAAGATTAAGACATGATTCAAAAGAAGACTAAGGAAATATTCAATAGTCACGAGAATCTTGCCTCCTTTTAATAGAACCTCACAATTAGTTTGTATCAGCAATGTCAAGAAGCATCCAGCCAGAGGCTATGGCCCAAATTTGAATTTGTTTCATCTCAGTTTTTTTCAGAAAATGTAGTAGAGTTTTTTATGGTGCATATATTGACAACATAGACATATACATATGGGTGTACATATAGCCGCTACAACCAAACCATAATGTTTTCATTAAATAATGGCTTCTTTCCTTAAGGTCACTTACAGCCTTATCACCTAAAGACCAAATGCACTAGTGAAATTACTGCTACATAATTTTAGTACTGACTGAAAAGCAGAAAACTTATCTATGTTAGTGTCAGTGTAAGAAATATTAATGCTTACTATCTGACAATGCAAAAAAGTTAAAAATAGATCAGCATAAATTTGTTATGAGTAATTTTTGTATTTTACTGCAAGAGGAGTTTGAAAATCAAAGACAGCTTTGAAGGCTTCCTTGAATACTTTAGACAATTTATACAATACCTCAAAAACAATGCTTTGTCATTTTTATTGTATCCAAAACTTAGAAATCAAATTAGTAAACAGAGGATTATAGAAAATAGGAATAAACCAGGCTGGGCGCTGGTAGCTCACTCCTGTAATCCTAGCCACTCAGGAGGCAGAGATCAGGAGGATTGTGGTTCAAAGCCAGCCAGGGAAAATCCAATCTCAAAAAAACCCTTCACAAAAAAAAGGGCTAGTGGAGTGGGATACAGGTGTAGGCCCTGAGTTTAAAGCCCCGGTACCTCGCAAAAAGAAAAGAAATAGAATAAACCAAACAATATACTATCTGTATGTGTTTTGTTGATAGTTTGGGGGGCTTTTGGGGGGGGCGGGGTAGTGTTGCTGGGAATATAATCCAGTGTCCTGGGTCTTATGCACGCTCATAGATTTTAACTCCTTCAAAAAAGAAACAATACTTTTGAAGCGCTAGTCCTTCAGAGTTATACTAATGATTGTTAAATACAATCATTTTCCATTTTAGTCTATTAAGTTTCTCCTATATTTTACTTATCTTTGAAAAATAAAAAATGAACACATACAATTCAAATCATTTGTAGTTATAGTTTCAATAAGTTTTAGTTACTTGAGGTATTAAAATGATTTCTATAATAAAAATGAAATAGGAAACAAAAATGATTAGCACATATATAAAACAAAAATAAAAACCAGCAGTAAGGCCATCACCTTAAACTAGTCTTATTTACTAGAAACAACAATAGGAAAATCAGTTTTAGGCATTTATCATTTTAAGTGAAAAATGCTGCACATAATCCATAGTGTCCCCTCTTAAATCGATCTCTGAGATTATCAACTTGAGGACTAAACAAAGAATGGTTGGCAGTTTCAATTGCTTGGAGCAATTATATCAACATCACTTCTCATATATGATCCCTAGCCGTCTGACACTATTAGAATCAGAATAAAGTCACCCAGTTTTCCCACTAGCATCTCTAACACATTATACAACATAACATAATTCACAAGACCTTTAAAGCGACCTTTAAGCTCTTAAAGAGTGTTAGTCTGAAGTCAAGCATGATGTAACAAACCTATAATCCTAGCAACTTGGGAGGCTGAGAACAGGGGATCACAAATCATTAGGCAACTTGGGCTACATAGCAAATTCCACGCCAGCCTTAGCTACATAGCAAGACCCTGTCTCAATAAAAAACAAAAAATAAAAATAAAATAAGTGTCAGTCTTGTCATGATTCAAGGTGGTGTAATTTTAACGTTTAAATGAATTTAATTATTCCCTTTTTATTTCATCTAGCTCATACTTGATGATGTGGACAATCAAGCAGTAAGTCTTCATAGATAAACATTAGTATCTTATGTATGTCATAGTACATACATTATTTTAAGATGTCCTATCCATCAAATGAACCAATAATATTTAACTAAACAAGCAAGGGAGAGGGAATGGTTCTGGCAATCTGCCCAGAGAAAGTTTGATACAAATTTATTTGATGTTGGGAGTTCTTTTTGGCATATTTTAAAGGCATTCCTATTGGAAGATTTGAGAAAGAAAAAATGAAATTAGCTGATGCTGGGAGGTAACAAGGTCCACTGAACTCAGGGAAAACTCCTCCTCTTAAATCATTCTTGGGGGAAGTGCCTGTTGGCCTTCCTCCAATTAAAGGTCTTTTAGCTCCTACCCTGTAATTTTCAAATTTCTTAAATAACTTTCTAACCAAACTAAATGGTCCTTTGAGAAAGGACTAACATTGGCTGACCATAGTAGAACTGAATATCTACTGAATGAATCAGTGTCTACCAGATACCAACTTCAAGGTAAAACTCATCATAAGTAGGGCCTAATCCACTTAGCAAGCGAATGGGAGAAGACACCTTTAGCACTTCAATGTACCTTAAGTATTATATCATGAGATAAAACATTTCCTAACAATGCCTGTATGTAGTCATTTTCAGATATAAATTACCAATTTTTCAACAAAATCTATCGAGCAATTTTTTAAACGTCCTAAAACCTAAATCTCATTAAAAAATATGTTGCCATTTATGAGGAAGAAATAATCTGAAACCACCAAATTTTACTTTCTTACATTTCTATCACTTAAAAACGACTAGGCTGGTATTTCTGTTTTTAAAAAATTCTGAAAATACTGACCCATGATGAAAAACCAATGCAAACTAATCCACAGCAAGGCTCTTATAAAACATGATCCTTAGGTTCTAGTTATTAATTTGGCTCCTGGTTTAATATGAGTATATTTTTTAAAAAATTAGATACAACATGATTTTACTCACGTCAAAGCTTCCTCCAATTTATGAATTTTCTTTTGAGCATCTTCTTTTTCCTTATCAAGCTCACTCTGCAATTCATGAACCTGCCATGACAAGAATATGTGAAATTTACTGAAAGACAACTGTACTCAAAAAAAAGAGAACAGCAAACAACAAAACTGTAATCTCAAATCCACTTTTAATATAAAATCAGATTTTGATATTTCAAGATAGAAATTTACAGTCTAGGAATGGTAGCACATTCCTATAATCCCAACTACTTGGGAGGTGGAGGTAGGAAGATTGCAGCACTAGGCTAGCCCTGCAAAAAGCATGAAATCCTATGTGCAAAATAAATTAAAAGCAAAAGAACTTGGGCCATGGCTCAAGTAATAGAGCACTTGCTTAGCAAGCACAATACCCTGAGTTCAATCCCCACTACTGCCAAAGTAAGAAACTTCAATCAAAATCATTTACCATAAAATGACTACTAATGTCAATTTTCTATTAATTAATAATTTTTTGAATCTACATGCAGATTCTCTTTAAATAACAAACCCCAAGAGGCACCAATCATTATGATTTTTTTAAAGTTTTATTTTAGTGAAAAGAATCTCATAAGATTGAACACAATAATGTGTCTATATTCCCAAATACAGAAGGGTTATGATGAAACAGTTGTCTTCCCTTCCACGGCCGGGCATGATTCTATATCCATTTACCACATTTGCAAGAAATTCCCCTCATGACTATCTCTTTCCTGAATGTAGCATCCTTGGAGTAGGTAGGATGGCTGCATCAAGGACACAAGGGCTAAATGAAGTCTCTTCACAGAAACTCACATGTGAAGGCAGAGAAACATTTTTAGGGATCTTAAAACACATGAAAGGAAAGTTTTACTACAGCTGGACAGAAAGGAGGAGTACAAACGCAATCACGGTTCCACCCACATGGCAAGAGAAGCCACAGAGTCTTAACAATAGGCAAGTGAGCCCTTAACTTCTTAGGATGAGAATAGCTACTACAGACCTACTAGAAATTGTGGTAAGTCTGCAAGTGAAACTGATGGACAGTAGGAGAGAGGAATGACAAAAACAATGAAACACACAAACACACTGTAAGCCATAGCAAACTCTGAATCGGTGCTAGCCAAAAACCATTAGTTATACTTATTAGTTTGAATGGAGACATACTGAACTCAAACCCTGTATTCTTTGGTGTTTTCCTTTTATAATTCTCTTGTATTTTTCCCTTGGTGTTTTGATAAGTAAATTAGTAAAATAAACTCTCTCCTTGTAAACTAAAAGGGATGAATGTAGATTGGCAACTTTTCATGTTATCAAAAAGCTTCTACTGGTTACTATGATGGCAATCACTAAAGGAAGAAAAAAAGTTTTTTTAAACCTGAGAAGAAGAGTTTTAGAATGCAGGTGGCTGAATGAATAATCAGGAAGAGCTGGAAGAACAGGAGTCTCTCTCCACCATTTTTAAATGATAATTTAAAATATCTCATAAAGACTGTTTTTTCTTATACACATTGATATGTAGAAGCATGTTTGTAATAGCTGAACTAACTCTGTGGCCTTGGGATGAGGGAAAGGAAAGAGAATGATAGTCAACAATATCAAAATGCATTACATTTCTGTGCAGACAGAAGACATAATGATATGTATTGAAAGCTGTTGAATAATAGGGAGTGGAAGAGAAAGGGTAAGGGAGAGTTGCTGAGGGGTTATACTGACCAAAATTAAGTATATTCACAGCTGGGATACACCAAGACCACTTTGAACATTGACTTTGGAATTCAAAATGAAAGATAGGAGACTGTAAAAATAGGTAACAGTGGTGGGGGAGTATTTGTGGGAGGGGAGAGCAAATGGAGGAGATAGAGATGAGGAAATATTGGGCTTCACAGAATGAATAGAATGACAAAAATCTCTTGCAATTGCTTTTAAGTGGGACAGGGAGAGGGTTGTGGGGAGAGATAGTGGGGACAATCTAACCAATGTACAGTGTAAGGCTATTGGGAATTGGCACAATGAAATCCCCCTGTACAATGAATATATGCTAATAAAAAGAAAAAAAACAAAGACTGTTTTTCTTATTAGGAAAGGGAAGAGCAACTTGCCTTGCAAATCTTTGCCACTACATTTATTTTACTTTACATGGAAAATATAGAAAAGACGGTGGTTCAACCACCAACAACAGGTGTTGGCGAGGATGCAGGGAAAAAGGAACCCTCTTACACTGTTGGTGGGAATGTAAACTAGTACAACCACTCTGGAAAAAAATTTGGAAGCTACTTAAAAGCTAAACATTGATTTACCATATGACCCAGCAATACCACTCTTGGGGATATACCCAAAAGAATGTGACACAGGTTACTCTAGAGGCACCTGCATACCCATGTTTATTGCAGCACTATTCACAATAGCCAAGTTATGGAAACAGCCAAGATGCCCCACTACTGACGAATGGATCAAGAAAATGTGGTATCTATACACAATGGAATTTTATGCAGCCATGAAGAAGAACAAAATGTTATCATTTGCTGGTAAATGGATGGAATTGGAGGACATCATTCTGAGTGAGGTTAGCCTGGACCAAAAGACCAAAAATCGTATGTTTTCCTCATATGTGGACATTAGATCAAGGGCAAACCAACAAGTGATGAATTTTGACCACATGATAAAGAAGAGCAACAAGGGAGATATGAGGGTAGGTAAGACACCTAAAAAACTAGATCGCATTTGGTGCCCTCAACGCAGAGAAACTAAAGCAGATACCTTAAAAGCAACTGAGGCCAATAGGAGAAGGGGACCAGGAACTAGAGAAAAGGTTAGATCAAGATTATTTAACCTAGAAGGTAACACATGCACAGGAAATTAATGTGAGTCAACTCCCTGTATAGCTATCCTCATCTCAACTAGCAAAAACCCTTGTTCCTTTCCTATTATTGCTTATACTCTCTCTGCAACAAAATTAGAGATAAAGGCAAAATAGTTTCTGCCAGGTATTGAGGGGGTCGAGGGGACAAAGGGGGGGTGGGTGGTGGTAAGGGAGGGGTGGGGGCAGGGGGAGAATGACCCAAGCATTGTATGCACATATGAATAATAAAAAATAAATAATTTTTTAAAAAAGACGTGGGTTCAAAATTTCACCAGGCTTAAGTCTTAAATCATTGTTTTACTTTCTTTGGATCCTAGCATGCACTATAGTGTTGGTACTAGCAAGATGCTAATTAAATTGGAAGCAAATATTACCAAAATAACACAAATCTAATGTATAGAACTGTTTAGAATTGTGTAGAATTTATAGTTGTATAGAATTGTGTAGAATTCAATATTCACAAGCCCAAATGGAACTCAAAGATGACCTAATGTGAAGATTCTGGAAACATAAATGTTTTTGTATCAGTAAAATCCTTTCTTGAGTCAGGCACTAATGGCTTCACACTGCAATCCTACTACTAAGGAGGCCAGAGTTCAGGAGGATCATGGTTTGAAGCTAGCCAGGACAAATAGTTTGTGATACCCTATCTTAAAAATATCCAACACACACACACACACACACACACACACACACACACACACACACACACACACACAAAGAAAAAGGGCCGGCAGAGTCAATCAAGTGGTAGAGTGAATACGTAGCATGTGTTAAGCCCTGAGTTTAAACTCCAGCACCACCACCAAAAAAATATTATAAAAATCCATTCTTGAAATAAAATCTGGACTAATTTCTCTGGCTGTGACTTGCAGCACTATAGTAATTGGAAGGAGTGACAGTAAGCATCCTTGTTTTGTTGTTGATTTTCCAGAATAATCTTTCACCTTTTTGCCATGGAAGATGATATTAGCTGTGGGTTTGTAACATATGGCCTTTATTGTGTTGAGGTATATTTCTTCTATCTGTAACTTGTTGAGCTTTTATTATGAAAGGTTGTTGAATTTTGTCAAATGCTTCTTCTGGATCTAT